AAAGAGATGTTCTGTGATGCAGTCATGCAGGGGAGCTTGATGGAGGAGTATTTTTGGGAATTCACAGAGGTTGAATTTGTTCTGTAAAGGGAAAAAATGGTGGGCAATGAGTGTGGTGGAAAAGAGAAGGGTAATCAAGCAACTTTATTTTATTTTATTTTGTTTTGTTTCTTATATTTTCAAATATCATTGTGGTCTACATAAGAATGCTAATATGTGATGTCAAAGTAAGAACATGACAATGAAAAACATGGATGTTTTTACATGAATAATTCCTTGTGTGATGATGTTTGCCTTTTCATATGATTCTTTTGAATTCTGATGTGTGACTAGAGGTATAAAGCCCAACTCGAGTTTTTAATATTCGGGTTCAGGCTCAAGTACTTATATGAGTTTAGTGGATAAGTGAGTTATAGCTCGACTCGTTTATCAATATTAGAAGCCGAACAACTAAGTTAGATAACTAAATGAGTTCTTCAGTTCAACCTTAACAAGCCGAGTTTACTAGTGTTTGTTTTGTTTAATAGCTATATGTCGTTTTTCCATTTATTCTCATTAAAATCATCCAAGAATGAATTAATAGGAACTGTTATTATTATTATTATTAAAAATGAAATATAAACCACAAATTGCTTTTATCTTGAGTTTTGTATTTGGGATTTATGAATAAGTAGTACTACTTCATTAGGGAATATAGTTTTCTCGAGGCATCGCGTAGCAGCTGAATATATGTGGGGACTTTTTGGCTCCTGTGACAGGGACTGATGTGAAATTGATGCTAATATCATGGGCCAATTTGAAATTATTTTATGCTAACTTTCATGTTGATTATGCAGTTAGTTGTATGAAAAAGACGTGACAGAAAAAGAAAAAAAAAAAAGTGAGAGACCTTATCAGACTCCACTACATGGGCCCAGACTATTATCACATTTTGGTAATTTTGTCAATCAACTTTTTAAATCAAACAGTGCTTTACGACCCGAACGGGCCCAACGAGTCAACACAGGCCCAATTGATCCCGAGCCAGAACCAATTTGAATGGATCTTTCAAACCGACTAACAAGAAATCCGGTCAAAAACCCGGCCATTATATAATTTTTGTGTGATCACCATTTGTCCCGGACTCCCGATCATTAATTGTAGCACATATCGCTTTATACAATGCCACATGTACAAGTGTAGTTTACATTAAAAAATATTATAACCAGGTTTGAAAAAACACTGACTCCCAACTGTAAACCTTACCTTTTCAAATTTGTGCAATCTCTAAAACATTCAACATATATCAATATGCACATTTTAATTTTCCCAAAAAAGACAAAATCCCCATAAAAGAATTAAAAAGGAGAAACTAAGAGCATGCTTGGATATAAAAAGTGTTTTTTTGTTAGTGATTAAAATAAAATAATATTTAAAATAAAATAATCAAAATTAAATTGATGTAAAAGTAGGAGAGAAAAGATGTGATGTGATGGTTAGTTAAAATTATGTGAGTTGATGAATAGTGAATTAAGATTGATGTTGTTGTAAGAATGATTGATTGATATTATTTAATTATATCGATAATATTGATGATAGTTAGGTTGAGTTAAAGTTGAGTTAAAAATTGGTTGAGTTCAAAATAATTAGATTTTTTGGGTTGAATTTGTATCAAGCATGCTCTAAACAGTTGAACAAAAAAGGATGACATTTTTTTTAACTCTCACTATAATTGTTCTCACAAAATCTGCACCAAACACTGCCTCTTTTCACCATTCTTACACCCAAAGCTCCAAAACCTACCTTCCAAACCTCACATTCTAAGTCACCCTAAACATGAACTTCCTCCGGTTGACCCCGTCAATGCGCTCGCCAATCTTCGCCAGGTGAGCCATCCTCCTCCGGGCCGACTCCACGGGCCCGACCCTCTCGGAGGGCATTTCCGTCTTTTCACCCTCGTCGCTCTCATTGGTCGCCGTCGAGAGGTTGATTATTATCTCACTTAGAGTCTCGACTACTGTGCTCATCTTGGGCCGGTCACGGGCGCTCCTCGCCAGGCAGCTGTCGGCCAGCCTGGCAACCCTGCGGGCCCCGCCCGGTGAGTACCGACCCTCAAGCCTCGGGTCCATAATCGTGTTGAACCTCTGGCCGCGGACCCAATCTAGAAGCTTCCGCTCGTGTCTCGGCCGGTCGCGATCGAGGGACCGTCTCCCGGTTAGGATCTCGTAAAGGACCACGCCGAAGCTCCACACGTCGCTCTTCGAGGTGAGGTGTCCCGTCTCTACGTAGTCGGGGGCCGCGTATCCTTGTGTCCCGACGACCTGCGTGAAATTACTGTTTTATCCTTGGCTTGCCTTTTTACTTTGGTGAAAATTTTTTAGAAGTTAAGAGGATGCTGGGATACAAATATTTTCAAAAAAATCCAAACATTTTTAACTGAACCTCACTATCATCAATATTATCAATATAATTAAATAATATCAATCAATCATTCTTACCTACTACATCAACTTTAATTAACTATTCATCAACTCACATAATTTTAACTACCCATCACTTCAAATCATCTCTCTCGTACTTTTATATCAAATCAACTTTAATTATTCTATTTTAAATATTATTTTAATATACACACTAACAAGTAACTATACCACATTTTTTAAAATTAAACAAACCAAATCAAAAAATCTAAACAATTTTAGTCACCCAAAGGGAACGCACCGCGAGAAATCACCGTTTTACCCTTGGCTTGCCTTTTGCTTGGTGAAAAAATTTTTGAAGTTAAACTATTTCATGTTTTTAGTGATCGAAAGGGAACGTACCGCGGTCGAGACGTGGGTATGGCCAGTTGTGGGGCCCTCACGGGCAAGCCCAAAATCCGAGAGCTTAGGCTGGAAATCGTCATCCAACAGCACATTGGACGACTTGAAATCTCGATATATGACCTGTGATATCAATGGAACAAGGCAACATCAAGTTTTCAAAAATTGACTCGAACGAAAACGGTCATTCTAAATGTCAACGACTTAAACACAAAAAGGAAAAAACAATTGTCAAATGTCTGTTCCAAATTATAATACTTCTAAATAGTCTGAACTTACACACAAGTCTAAAAACCAGTATAAGGGTGTTTATAGATTTCTGATTCCACGTTGAATTTGGTTCGACTTAAAACACATACATAAAAAGCGTCCAATTTATCGTCAAAATTTCAACTTTTAGCTTCTATCTTGTCAACCAAGATACAACAACAACAATAACATACCCAGTATATTCCCAACAGGTTGGGGTGTGAGATTGGGGTGTGGGGGTCAATTGTACCAAGATAAAATATAAAAATTACTCACATTCAAAACTCAAAAATCTTTGAGGCAAATCTAATATCAACAGTTCCCCTTCAAGAATATCACACGCTCGAATTTTTTTTTTGTTTTTTTTTTGTTTTTTGTGTCGAAATTAAGGACCTGAACTTGTAGCTCTTCATGGAGATAAGCTAAGCCCCGAGCAGCCCCAAGAACTATCTGCAATCTACAATCCCATGATAAAACAGGAAATGCCTTGTTAAGATGATCCTCCAAACTTTTATTAGGCATATACTCATAAACGAGTAGCCTCTGTATACCCCTTTCCCCATCCACCGCGCAATACCCGATTAGCTTGACAAGATTCGGATGCTCGACTATGCCTAGAAACTGAACTTCAGATAGCCACTGTTTGTGTCCCTGAAAAATGCAAATCAAAATGTGATAATTTGTGATGAACGATCCCAAATGGAAAACACTTCAAAAAAACTTGTGAATTTCACCCGAAATCCCCATCAGACCTTGAAAATGAGCTGAAATTCCAAAGGCAATCTCATTTAGAAATGAACTTGATTTGGAACTTCTTAGAGAGGCAGTGTATAACAATATAAGACAGAATCAAACAACAGAAAAATGACAAGAACTTGAGTAGATTGATTGTAGAGAACTCAAGTTAGGCAAATCACACTACCAACAATAGAAATTAGTAATTACCCAGCAAAAGCAAAACAACATACATAACAAAACAAAAAAATGGATGATCCAAAAATTATCCCTCTTATATGATCTGATGCCAAAATGAATCAATACTATCCGAAAAATCAACCCAATTAAGGCAGAACTATTTCCCAATTCAATTTGAATAATAATAAAAAAAAAAAAAAACACAAGCATATCAAACAACAATCTCCAAGAACAATCAACACCATATTAACAACGACAATAATTTTTTTAAAAAAAAATTACAAACCTGATAACCATTTCTGCTCAATTTCTTAACAGCCACAACAAGAGATTCACCCTTTTCATCAACCGGCTTAATCGTTCCCTTGTAAACACATCCAAACCCACCTTCACCAATTTTAAGGAACCTGCTAAAATTATCGGTTGCCTGTTTTAACTCGGAAAACGTAAAAACTCTCAAATTATGAGCTTTTTCCTCGTATAATTCAGGTATGCTGCAAGGCGAAGCAGCTGAACAATTCGATTTTGTGACCCTTTCAGCCTCTGATATATTAGACTGGCTCTGTTGGCTTAGAATTGGAGCTGATTTTTGCACTCTGTTGCTTGCTTTTTCCTTGAAATAATAAAAACACTTCATTTTTTCCCCCTTTGTATATGACAAATGGGCCTTCAAGATTCAAATTTTGAGGTCCAATATTGGCATATTCTTGAAACCAGCTGAAATAACAGGAAAATGTGATGTAAATTTGACAAAAAGGGGAAATGGAAAAAGTTTGCACAATAAATGTTGTGGGAACTGTAAAGATTCAATTGTTAACATCAAATGTTGAGAGCCCAGTTGAAATGTTAATGGAGAATACAACGATTTCGGATGATTTATTAATTTACGATTTTTTTGGGGAACAAGAAGACAAATAATGTCACTATGTCAGCTCAAGTCAAGAAGATGGATTGGAACCTGACCAAACAACTCCTAATAAAATAATACAAATTGATGTAAAAATTTAAACTTTGAACCTCCTAATAAGAAACAAAATTGCCCAGGCTGGAAAGAAGACCATTGGATGAGTAGCTAGCCAAAGCGAAAATGGAATCTCACCTGCAAAAACGAAGAAAAATATGTTGTCTTGATGGGATTTTTTTTCCTGGTATTGTTCGACTTCGACCCCTCTCTCTCTCTGTGTGTATATGTATAAGTAAATTTGTGATCATATATATCCTATGGCTTCGATATTTCAAAACGGTACAAGATTTAATCAAATATTTACAAAACAGTGCATAGTATTACACAAGATTTATGTCAAGGTTTTATTCTAGAATTTTTTTTTATTTATTTATTTATTTATTTATTTTTTTTTGTCTCATCATAACTGTTAAGCGGATTGATGTCATGTTATTTGAAAAAAAAAATTATATTTATATTATTAAATATTATATTTTTATTTTCATTGTCTTTTATAATACGATATTTTTTAATATGTATATGTGTAAAAATAACGTATATTAAAATATATGTTGTTTTTAAAAGTATGATATTTTTAAAACCAACCGTGTATGGTATTTCTTGGTCGAGAAAGTGTCTTGATATGCCACAGCACAAAAGAAAAATGAGTCCACGTTGACGAGAGGCTCGCAGTTTTTTTACCTAGTACGCACAATTTTCAAACACCAAAAAGCCTAGGAAAATAGAAATATATATTCTCTTTCTGCTCCTTCACACGCACCAAGTCTGGATTCTTAAAGGAGAAGAATATCAAACTTGGACGGCTATAATTTGCTTAAAATTAATTTATCAAATGTATAAAATCTACAATGAGATTTTGAATGATATTTTTATATATTTTGAAATTCGATACATTTTAAGATTTTTTTGAAAAAACTTATATTAAACATAAATATTTGTGTAAGACAGTCTAATTAGAAGTGACATGCAAATGACAAGTTCGTCAGTTATTCAAAAAGTAGAAAACGTATGATCGAGAATTAAGCTGG